CCAAGGGTTGGTATGAAAACACATCCTCATGGACACATACCTAATTTAGAGGCAGGAGCCAAGGGTTGGTACGAAACATAAGGAAGTAAACATACAGCTAGGTTTTGTGTGTAAAGTGATTGTTCTTTTAGTGCAAATTTCACAAATATTTAACACTTGCACAGTTTGTTCTTCACAAATAAATACAGTTGTACAGCATCCTTAGATTATAACAGTTACCTAGTTGTAAGCAGTTACTGCTGAAACCCTAACCGTACTCGAGTAACCTGAGCGCTAGTAGTACATTATCAAACATATAAAACAAACAGAGCTTATGATGTACATCTTTCACTTTCAACATCAAATCTCATACAACAGCATTCTGAAATAAAAACCTGTTCAGCGGTACAAACCTTCTATGTGTTCTCTGATAAAGAGGTCATCCATGATATTTTTCCTATTTGTTTTTAGAATTTTCTCAAATTCATTGATGTCATTATTTTGATAGGCACTGAAAAAAAAAAGCAACATGAAAATGTAAGCAGCTAGCAGAATGCAAGCATTGTTTGATAAAATAAAATTACAATTTTCTTATGTTTGATTCACCTAACAAACTTAATATACCCAGCAAAAAAAATCAAACAATATTTATCAGTTGTGAAAAAAACTCTTTTCACTGTTTATTCTAATGTACGTTAACTGTGGTTCTATTAGGCAACTTGGTTATTAAAGAGCAGTGCACTTTTTGAACAATCTTATAGAATTATTCTTTATAAGTTGAGGTGTTTAAACTGTTGCATTTTATTTTAAAAAGTACAGTGAAAAGAATAAACAAATACATACTTTAAACAATTATTACTAGAACTTCTCTCTCAGGTAGAAATACTTTTGTTTGTTTGCAATTAAACACAAAGCTAAACAATGTTAAACTTATATTAAAGTTCTTCTTCATTACCCACTCAAGCCGTCTCCAGCCATTATTAATGGGCTATCTGTGTTGTGCCTATCACAAGTATCAAAACCTGGTTTTTAGTGTTATAAGCCTTCAGGCTTACTTCTGAGCCACTGAGAGGACACTAGAAATACTACAAAAATTCTTTTATGAGTGCTGAGTATAGAAGGCCATAACTAAAGTCAATAAAATATCTGGTATTTTCAACCTTATGGGATACATGGTATAGGTAGCTAAGTGATAAGGGAGAGGGCAGCCAGTCAACAACATCTGACTGCCTATGTGGCTACTCTTAACAGAATAGAAAGATTACTATCACCGTTAGAAAATTCCCACGGTGTGGTGGGTGTTCAGTGGCAGCTCAAACCATGAACTCTCCAATCCACAGCCCAGTAGGCTAAATTACTAAGCTGCATCTGGCCACCATCAATAAAACTTCTATGAAATGTTGTAAACAAAGATTTTATTATAATAAGTTTAACAGAAAGTGGTATTTTAACATCCATATAAAACGTCCTTCACGATACTGTAAAAAATGGATGAGCAATATTAATATAAGCAAATCAGTTTACTTTTACTAAAAACATATGTTAAAACTTACCTCACCAAGTTCGTCATTGCCAAGATTTCGGGATCATTTTTATATGGTTTTGCTTCTTGAGAGTCGAAAGGGTTAATGCCAGACTTCATCAGCATATTGGCTAGAACTAAATACTTGAGACAAGTTGTCCTTCTAAAGATTATAAAAAAACAAACTCCTGCATTTTCCTTAGTTTCCTAGAACTAAGAAATTACATTTATTTATTTATAATACTAAAATAGTTTGAAATCTAGTACTTAAAATCTAATATTTGACTTTTATTTTCTCTTATTTCTTTGAAATTTTGACTAAGGTTTCTTAATGATGATGAGAAATCCATTTGATGTATCAAAATATAAAAACAAATTAATTGTACCTGACAAGTGAAAGTATCCGTCCCCAGTGACATGAAAAGTTTAAGTTCATCTATTAATTAGTTGTATTGCACTCTTGGTTTCACTCAGAATTAAAGCTCTGAGCTACTTATACCGCCCACCACGAAAAGTAATTGTTGAGCATCTCAGTCGTGCTAAGAGCCACTCAACAATAACATACGGTAAATCTACATTTTTATTCTTTAAGTTACATTACATTTTCAAATGTGAATGATAGTGTGATTAATTCCTAACAATTTAGTGTAGAATATCCTGCTTGAGAAATAAAATTTGTCTTCAACATTATTCATGTCTGTTCTCCCGTCATTTCCAACATGAATCTCGAGCTTTGCCTTTGTCTGCAACTTTTCAAACACAGCTCGGGAAGCAGCCACCGTAAACGAGAGACAACAGTTCACAATAAACATAAACGGTTATACATTAGCAAGTGTTCAAACTAACTTTGTATCTCCTTTGTTTTGCTCATACTAAAAGTAGAAAGTTAAGACAAATCAGTAAAGACTTAAAGAATAAAATAAGAGATATATCTGACCAAATAACCAACCTTGGGCTACCTGATTCATCATAATTTTTGAAAGCTTCAAAAAAATCTGTGTGAGCCTTTTCATATTCCCCTTCTCGTAAATGCATCTTCCACCACACTCTACAAATAAATATGTAGCAACAGCAATTAAACATAAAGAAATGAACACTATTATATATAATAATATCTTGAAAAAAATCCACAGTATTTTCAACTACCAATTTTTCATAGCTATAAAATAATGAACACAAACCTTAAAATTGAATAGTTTCTTTCATGTTTAGCTTTATGTGAACCAAGTCAAAACAAATTAAGATAAAATTAAAAATAACTTATAATGAAAAATAAAATCAGGATACCAGGTGAGAAGCTTTGTCTTTAGATATTTAAACTATCAAATCAGTTGTAAGTATCTGAAGTCAAAACTCGACATATGACTAAAATAT